TCTTTGAGCTGACTAATTTTGTCAATATCATCAGCCTTAAGTAATGTAATTACACATGCATCCTTTATCAGGTTAGCATTTTCTTACTTATTTTATTATTATCAATTTTTTCAAATTTTTATTATTATATTAATTTTCTATTGGATGAGATTGAGTGATTATAAAAGGTGTAATTGTGGTATATATAATACATGAACTTGTCTACTTTTATAATCAAACATGCATGTCATATGGTCATTGCATGATTCTGGTACAAAAGGTTATCTATCCTAGTGAGGCCACGTGCATGTATGGGTTGTTTTCTTCCTTATTCTGGTACATGGTTTTTTTATTTTACTCCATCATGACATTTTGAAGTGGTCCAAAAAATGGATCGGTGCCAAATTTTTTGTAATGGGAAAGAACCATTTGGCCAAATTGTAAAATGAGCTTAATTTTAGGAACTTAAAACATAGTGTTTGAGGATATACATATAATTAATTTACAATCTCTATAATTAGAAGATATATATGTATATACACAAGTATACATATCTAATGAAGCTATAGGGTTTTTGATTTTGATTTGCCTCTTTGTATGCAGGACAGTGTGATCACTTATGTTGTGTAAGGTTTGGTCTAGGGAACTTAATATTAACTAATTACTAACGAGCCAGTGGTCTAGTGGTATCAGTCTCTTACCTTCCAAAGAGAGGTCGGTTTTCAAGTCTCAAAAGAAACAAGTGTGTGTGAGTACCAACTAGAAAAGAAAAAAATATATATATTGACTAATTTGAAAGTGTAATTCAAAACTATTTTTTGAAAAATATAATTTATTTATTTATTTATTATTATTTTTTTTTAATGTTTGACCAACTTGTCCCAAATTTTTAAAATTGAGCCTAAGGTTTCAATTTTTTGGCCAAAAAGTTAGCAAATGATATTAGATCGAATAAATTCCTACTTTCAGTTTTTTCTAAATTTTATTGAACATTATGAAATTTTAACCAAATCTTTGTTAATTTTTTGAACTCGAATTTTGGTTGTTTAGTTGAAATATAAGCAGAGCTAAACAGGATTAATTTTGGAACCAAAGTCCCAACCATGTCTCACATGAGATCCCTCCATTTGTATTAGTAAAAATTATCCTAACTCCTACACCTACAATGTGCAAATCAGAAGAGAGGAGTGTTTTTTTACTTCTTCCGTTTTGTTTGTTTTTTTTTGTTTGTTTGTTTTTTTTTTATTTTAAGAGACGAGCATTATCAACAAGTGATCAATGAAAATTAAATCGGATAATATCATCTCTAAAACAGAGGTTGAGTGTGACACGCACATGTGTTACACGGTATTATCATTTTCCAATTAAAAAAAAAACGATATATTAGTCTTAGTATTAAAGTGAATTTATTTATATTGATTTGACGTAAACCAAAATCCATTATGAAGAAGAATAATAACCTAACCAGCAAGAGTAAATAGGTTGTCTCTTCACATTTATGTATAGAAATTGAATTGAAAATTTACGGAGACCATTAAAGAGAGATTGACTAATTTGTGCTATAAAAAGGTAAGGCCTCAATGCTCAACATATGGGTTTCAATTGTCTCAATTATCACAGTTAATTATTCTATACATTATTATGATTCGTTGTATTACCCTATCATTTAGTTCGTAATTCTTTTTTCAAGTCCGAATATATTATATTACTATCACGAATAATTCTCATGATTGAGATACGATTGAATCGTAAACTTCCATTAACATAAAATCAGTAAAATCGTTCCACCTAAATCATTTTCCTTAGAAGTTGTATCACTTCAGTGCAAATTGCGCACACACACTCTCTCTATGTGTGTGTGTGTGTATATACACACACACGTATAGACGATGGAGCTTATTTATGATGAGTTATGAAGAGGTGGCAGAGGATGAATGGTATTGGTATGTAACACAGAGATGGCCTGCCATTTCAATACTTTCAGTTGACTCAATCGTCCTCTGTTTCTTTCACGAAACTAGACGGCTATTCATTCAACTTGTTCAGAGCTTGACACGTGGGTTCACTGAGGTCACGTGAACTTATGCTCCAATGGTCCAATGTCCATCAACCAACTGCTCATCGATCACTTTTAATGTTTCTCTTCTCCAATTTTTGGATCCTATAATTTTGCTTAAGCTTTCAAGGCTCGACTACATTTACTAGGCATTTGGCACAAAATACCTCAACTCTTTTTTATTTTTTATTTTTTAAATAAGGAGAAATATTAGCACTCTTAGAAAATAAAATAAAATATGTATACGAAAAAGAGAGACCTGGTCTGTTGTCCTCTTCAACTTCAAGCAATTCATATGGGATGGAGATGTTTATTTGGAGGGTTACAAAAATAATGAACTTACTGTTGTTATTTTTGTTTTACAAGATTTGAGTTTTTAAAAATATGACTAAAAGGGTTCAAATTGATATTTTTTTATAAGTTTCAAGAGAACACAAGTTAAATTTATTTTTTAACTCTCCCAAACCCCCTAGTTGCTCTTGTGAAAAAGATGTAAAAGAGAGAAAAAGAGCGAGTAGTAAATTTTCAAGAAACTGTCATCGTGACAAGAGTCATTACCCCTTTTTGTTTAAATATTGGATTGTGATAACTTTTGAAGATATATTATAGACGCTTTATTCTGCCTTCTCATAAAAAGTTAAGTCTACTCAATAGGTATATCAAGGACGGATGTAGAAAGTTGTGGACAGTGGACAGGGGCAAACGTAAATTTAATGTAAATTTTTTTTGTAATTTTAGGAGGGACAAATTGAAAACTTTATAGGTATATAATAAAATATATATATATATAGCTGTATATAATGGTTAAAAACAATAAAAAATTCAGTGATGACAATTACCCCACTCATTGTGAAGTGGCTCAGTCCCTGGTATAATTGGATACTTAGAGTTTTGTTTGAAGAAATAGAAGTAACGCAAAATGTGTTAAAATATGGTATGAATATTCTACCATAATAGGTATTCAAGAATAAATGAAATTTTAATGAATTTGAAAGAAATTATATTGAAAATTAATCGATCTATATGGAAACCACAACAAAAGTCATATGAAATATTTTATAATTTTTTTAATTAAAGGGTTAAATAAAGAGGGTCATAAATCTTATTATGAGAACTTAGAAAGTAAAAATACTTTTATGAAGTAATCGTCTTCGTGTCTGATATCGACACTCCTCGAATATGTGTCTAATACTTTATATGTTTATAAATAAATAAATAAAATTCTAATCTTAGACTGACAATTTCAAATATTTCTAAAACAAGATTGCCCTGTAAACTTGAAAATAATATGAACACGTTCTAAATTTTAAAATGTCTAATTTTTTTTTTTAAAATAAACGTTGGCATTACATACATGATCACAAGTGAAGTATAAAATTGATTTCAGATCAAGCAACTCTTAGTATAAAAATTAGAAATCAATTAAAGTTTTATAATACCATTAATCAATAGATGTATATAAATAAAAATTAATATTTATATATAATAGTGTTCATATTATACTTGTATCCTAAGTTTTTTAAATTTGGCATATTAATGCAGCCGTGTTAATGAGAAGGCTCTTAATAATATTACACTTCAACACGCTTTACACAAAAAAGGACAGCTTTGAATTTCACCACCAAATTATGGCACAACTATTTTATAATGTTAGAAGATTAAAGAGATGAATGTGTTCATTGCATTAATATAACATAATTTCTTATTTACTTTTATAATCATATTTCTGTTTATAAACTTCATAAACATCATTTCCCTTTCTAGAATTTTGGAACAAAATAGTTTATTATAATCTTTAAACCGCGTGATTTAATTGTATTGATTAGACTTCTTGATTTTGCGAACGCCTCAAATCATTCCTTCCTTCTCGAACCTCATGTCAAAGTGTGCTTCTTGTATAGAAACTTCCAAAATATGAAGATAGTTATTATCTAGTAGATGGGATCAAAACAGTATTTGATCTCTCTTAATACTCCATAAAACACAATATACATATAGTCATATCAAAACAGTATTTGATCTCTCTTAATAGTCCATAAAAGACAATATACATATAGTCATATGTGTATCTATATATCTATGTATCTATTATTAGTTGTTACTACGTGAGAGGGACATACTTTTAAACGTTGGTCCCTCCTCCCAATTTTGGTGATATCTTATTGGCCCCAATTAAATACTACCCATCTCTTATTTAACTTTACCCAATTAAATTATAATTAAATTACTAATGTTTCTTTTCTTTATCTACGAAGCATGAATGTTTTAAAAAATATAACTGTATTTGTGTCGTGTCGAATACCGATACTTATGGGATATTCTTTAAACACGTGTTCGACACTTTATATATGCATTCGTAAATAAAAGTAAATTTTTATTATTTTGTACACTTTTCCGATTAGATATTTCGTCGACATTTCTTAGACACTTAAGTCGACACTTCAAATTTTCTAACACAAGTTTAACCGGTAATCTTGAAAATAATATTAATACATTATAAAGTATTTAACTTTTTTTTTTCGAAAAAAAATTTACATTATATACATATGATCAAAAGCAAAACATTAAATGATATTTGTTCATTTAAAATAAAAATACTATTATGACAAAGTAATGTAATAACGGTGTGTGTGTGTGTATATATATATATATATATATATGATATAAAAATCATTATAATTTTTAATATAAAAATTAGAAATGAATTAAGTTTTTATTTTAAATTTTTTATAATACTATTACTCAATACATATATATAAATAAAAGTTCATATTTAAATATTACCGTATCTAAGTTGAACTCGTGTCTTATTTTTTAAAAATTTAACGTGTCGACGTATCTGTGTCTATGCTAAGTAGATAATTATCTATCAAACTTTTAGTATATTGATAATTTGATATATGCAATGACTTTGTTTTTATCTTCCTTCCCAATTTTCTATAAAGAGAATTTTCTATATTCAACGCACACAAACACATATAATCATTTTATTTACTGTTAATACTGAAATATGCAAAGCTTTTGCCTCTTCTTATTCCTTGCTGCTTCTGTGAAGCTTCGTACAGCAATGAAGACAAGCCCCAGAAGACAGCAACACACGCCATTGAAACATTCTTGAAAACTTCCCGCGAAAAAAAAAAAAAAAAAAAAAGACCTTTGTGAGTGTGAATCGATTCAACTGAGAAAACCCATTGACCTTCTCTGCTTCAGCTTCTATTGTTGATTTTGTTTTTTTTAGAAATTTCAATCTCAACGTTGGGTTTTGATTTTAAACACGAAGCTTTTGGGGTTGTTTACATGTTCTGAAATGTTCAGCAGTTGAAATTTAAACCCTTATTGAAGCCAATGCGCGTGGGACATACGACGTTTCGTGAAGTCAAAATATGAAAGAGAGAGATCCAAGTCTACGTTCAAAGCTTCAGGGCCAAGAGAAAAATCAAATACCAGATTATTTCTAAGTATGTGTTCTCTGTTCTATATGGGCTATATATATGCGAATTTGTATGTTCTGTGATTATCATTATAGTTTTAGCTGATTGTGTGGAATTTTTGTTTCTGGGTATATTTCATTTGGAAAAATTTTTTTAGTTTTGACTGAAAAATTTGTAGATTTTAGAAGCTGGATTTGAGGGTTGTGAGTGTCATTTGTCTTGTCTGAACCTGTGAAACCCTTCTTTTTCTGTGTCTGTCTGTTTATACTCCTTCAAGCTTTATTTAGTGAAATATAACTTCTACCTCATTTTTATTTTTAATTTAATTCAAAAATTTTGGGGGTTATATATCGTTAATTTCCGGAATTACTGGGTTTATGTTCTTTGAAATTATTTACTTTTCCTGGGTGTTTTAAGGTTTTTGTACTTTTGGGGTGTTTTTGGTTCAGGATTCTTGAAGAAATTGCATTTATCAGTGAGAATTTGCTATTAGGAGTAACAAGATTTTGTTATTGGTACTGGGTTCATTTGGGGTTTAGAATTGGGACTATTTTGGGGGCAATAGTGATACTAGTTGGAGAGAATGAAGACTGGAAGAAGAAGGAAGCTTCATTTTAGCAAGCTTTACTCTTTCAGATGTGGGAAAGCATCTCTCGTGGATGATCATTCACAGATTGGGGGACCGGGATTTTCGAGGGTAGTTTATTGCAATGAACCACTCTGCCCTGAGGCCGGATTTCGGAATTATGCAGACAATTATGTGAGGACTACAAAGTATACACCTGCATCTTTCTTTCCAAAGGCCTTGTATGAGCAGTTTAGGAGGGTAGCCAATTTTTACTTCCTCGTCACTGGCATCTTGGCCTTTACAGATCTTGCTCCTTATAATGCTGTCAGTGCTGTATTCCCTCTAATTGTTGTGGTTGGGGCGACAATGGTGAAAGAGGGTATCGAAGACTGGCGACGAAAACTGCAGGTATTTTCCCCATTTAACTAAATTGCTTCGATGGATAAATCTAGGATCTTTACTTTTGTTCTTAATTCTCTAAACTATAACATAGATTCTATATTTGCAGAGGACTTCCTGCAATTTTTTGTTGCTTATTAACTTGGGAATTATCTGGGAAATTTATGAATATAGATGTTTCAATTAATTATAAGACCTCAAACAATTGTTAGGTTCAGATAACAGAATGGGTATGAGGGAAACTTTTAGCCATCCAATTAAATTGTTAGCATTCAATCACTCACAACTGCCAAGGTTAATTCTGAATCGTATGAGTTGTTTAGGATGTTAATATTCCACACTTGAATGTAATTGGTTTGTCATATAGTAAGCTCAAATCACAAAAACTTTTGAAAAATGGCAGTTCAATTTATGATTTGCAAATAGAGATCCAGTATACTAGGAATCACTTCAATGTTCTGTTCTTTCAATTTCATTGTGATACTATGCCATATTCTCTTGCTTTCTCTGAAGTTATGCTATGAACAATTTTAATTTTATGAACTAAATTGATAATTAATTTACATATTGCCCACTGTTCTTTAGCAAGTTGTTGCCCTTAGCTATAATTTTATTTCCTGGCAAATAACTCACCCCCCCACTTTGCCCTATGGGGACCTGAACCCCTGCAATCTATTTTGGGAAGTAGAAGAGTTTTTTAGGTTAAAGCCCTTGGTCTCAGCTACATAATTTATGTTAGGATAATGCCAAATTCTATCTTTTCTATTTTTAGAGTCGTGTCTTATTGTGTAATTTTTCTGATAACTCTTGGCAATCCTTGTTGAACAAGGAGTTGAGTATTGGGCTCTATAAATAGTTACATAGGTTATTGTTGAGAGTTATGACTTATGAGTGGAGAGATATGTAGTCCGTAAGGTCAACCTCGTGAGGGTGTGAGTACAATGGGTAGAGAGAGTTTACCAGTCTCTACATTGATATAGTGAAATATCCTCGTCCTTGAGTTTGGGTGAACCATGTAAATCTTGTGTTGTGGTTTGGAATTACTTTTCTTTATTCTTTTTTAATTTTGCTTCCGCAATGTGTGGAATTTTTCAGGATATGGAGGTGAACAATAGAAAGGTTAATGTACATCATGGTAATGGAGTTTTCAGTCGTACTGAATGGAAGAATTTGAAAGTGGGAGATGTAGTGAAGGTGGAGAAGGATGAATTCTTTCCAGCAGACCTTCTCTTGATTTCCTCCAGTTATGATGATGCAATCTGCTATGTTGAGACCATGAACCTTGATGGGGAGACAAATTTGAAACTAAAACAAGCATTGGAGGCAACTTCAATCTTACACGAGAACGCTTGCTTCAGGGATTTTAAGGCCATTGTTAAATGCGAAGATCCAAATGCAAATTTGTACTCTTTCGTTGGGGGTATGGAATTTGAAGAGCAACAGCATCCTCTTAACCCTCAACAACTTCTCCTTAGAGACTCTAAACTCAGGAATACAGACTACATATTTGGGGCTGTTATCTTCACCGGTTATGACACAAAGGTTATTCAAAACTCTACTGATCCCCCCTCAAAGAGAAGCAAAATTGAGAAGAAAATGGATAAAATTGTCTACTTCTTATTTTGTCTCTTGTTTACGATGGCTTTTGTTGGATCAGTTTACTTTGGCATTACAACTAAAGATGACCTAGATAGTGGCAGAATGAAGAGGTGGTATCTGAGGCCTGACAATTCTAGAATTTTCTTTGACCCGCAAAGATCCGTAGCTGCCGCAATTTATCATTTTCTGACAGCAGTTATGTTGTTTTCTTACTTGATCCCAATCTCCTTGTATGTGTCAATCGAAATTGTTAAAGTTCTTCAGACCATCTTCATCAATCAAGATATTCATATGTACTATGAGGAAGCTGACAAACCAGCTCATGCCCGCACCTCAAATTTAACTGAGGAACTTGGCCAAGTCGACACAATTCTTTCTGATAAGACAGGAACATTGACTTGCAATTCTATGGAGTTCATCAAGTGCTCTGTGGCTGGAACAGCTTATGGCTGTGGTGTTACAGAAGTTGAGAAGGTTATGGCTAAAAGAAAAGGATCTCCTTTGGTTCATGAAATGGAAAATGGTGGAAGCCAGGTTCAGGATTCTCCTGATACAAAATCACTCATCAAGGGTTTCAATTTCAAGGATGAAAGGATCATGAATGGGAATTGGGTTAACGAGCCCCACGCAGATGTCTTACAGAAATTTCTTCGTTTATTGGCAATCTGTCATACTGCCATACCTGAAGTGGATGAAGATACCAGGAAAGTCTCATATGAAGCTGAGTCGCCAGATGAGGCGGCTTTCGTGATTGCTGCAAGAGAACTTGGCTTTGAATTCTACAATAGGACGCAAACAAGTGTCTCACTGCATGAGTTGGATCCCTTGTCTGGAAGAAAGGTTGAAAGGTCAGTATCTCTATAATGTCCACAGAAAAAGTTTCCTGATTTCGTGCTCTCTCTCTTTTCTTTTCCTTTTTTTGATTAAAGAATTCTGTGCTGCACTCTTTAGCTGCCACTTGCATGTATGCATAATCATCTGGACAGGTCAAAGACCAGTCCACAAGCCCCCTTTATAGGCAACATCTAGAAAGACGCTTCACTCTGGTGCAGAGTATTCATGAATTGTACCTTTTGATATGATTGATGGGAAAACAATATAAAAAACAACAAGAGCTCTGCTCCCTTGTTTTCTTTACTAAGCCTATAATTTTTCCACTAATGATGCTGTTGAAGTAGTTGAATATTTCATATCCTGCCATTATTTCAATTTTAAAAGTATGTGTCTATAAAAGTTCAAAGTGTGCTCTAGTAGATGTTATCACTTTTTAGATGATGTCTTTAACATCCTGATTATGTGTGTTGTGATGTGATGTTTGATGATGTGAATACCATGGTGATTAAGATGGTGCATCCGTGTACAAACATGTGCGTGCACAGGCACATATTTCTATGTATTTGTGTGTGTGCTTTCCTACATAACATTGATTTTGTTTTCTAAAATTTGAAGTTATAAACAAATATGTTTATATATTGGAAATGAAAATCTTCCATTTTTGCAGGTTGTATAAACTTTTGAACGTTTTAGAGTTCAATAGCTCAAGAAAGCGGATGTCCGTGATAGTAAGAAATGATGAGGGAAAGCTATTATTACTATGTAAAGGTGCTGACAGGTTTGTAATTTTGCAACACAATTATCCTAAAACCTCACATTCATGAAGAACTATTTGTTTCTATTTTCGGTGTATTCTAAACCACCATAGTTTTTTCCCCTTGCTTTTTTCTTTGCAGTGTCTTGTTTGAGAGGCTTGCCAAAAATGGTAGGGAATATGAAGAGGAAACCAGGGACCATGTGAATGACTATGCTGATGCAGGCTTGAGGACATTGCTACTTGCTTATCGTGAACTCAGCGAGGAAGAATACAAAGAGTTTAATGAGAAATTCACAGAGGCCAAGAACTCACTTAATGCAGATCGGGAGACAATGATTGATGAAGTGACAGAGGAGATTGAGAAGGATTTGATTCTTCTTGGTGCTACTGCTGTTGAGGACAAACTCCAAAATGGGGTAGGTCGATAAATTTTAAGCAGAACTCTTGAACCTTCTTAGAGACTGTAAAAGGGAACTGGAATTGATTTTTCTTCTGTTGTGCCTGATAGGTTCCTGAGTGCATTGACAAACTTGCCCAAGCAGGAATAAAAATATGGGTCTTGACTGGAGATAAGATGGAGACTGCCATCAATATTGGGTATAATTTATTGTCTGGCTTGTGATAGTTATTTTTCTGAGGTGTGGTTTACTGCTCTAAGAAATTCTGACTCAAAAGTTAAATTTTGCAGATTTTCGTGTAGTTTGCTTAGACAAGGAATGAAGCAAATAATAATAAATTTAGAGACACCAGAAATTAAAGCACTGGAGAAGGCAGGGGATAAGGATGCTATTGCTAAGGTGCATCTCTATTCTGTTTTGCGTGCTAGTTAGTCGTTTGGGATAATTTATTTGTTATGAATGATAAAGATAGTTCAGTTAGATGAGCATGGAAGTACAGACTGAAAGTATGATGGCTTTATGTGCTCTTAAAATTAAATGATAGTAGCGTGACTATATACCATGCAACATACTATGTTAATTGTTGATTAGTTTAAGATGGATAATGTTCATCAAATAAAAGCCCTGTGGTATATTTAATTAAGAATTATTGGTGGATTTTAGCTCTTATGGAATACATTCTTTTTGTTTTTTGAATTTTACTTTTATTCTTCCTTATTGAGACATTAGTACGACAGAAAATTGAGATTATTTGCCAAGACTTCAAATACCATGAAGTGAATATCTACTGACTCTTTTGCTCCTCATTTCTACCAAGACATTAGTACCAATTTTGTAAAATGTTCACCAATATTCTGTTCTCTCTCATGTGGTGGGATGTTGTGGATATGTCTTTATAGACTTCAAAGGAGAGTGTTCGCCTCCAATTAAGTGAAGGGAAGGCTCAGCTTACTGCATCAAGTGGAAGCTCTGAGGTGTTTGCGTTGATCATTGATGGGAAATCTCTTGTATATGCTCTAGAGGATGACATGAAGAAAATGTTTCTAGAACTAGCAGTTGACTGTGCATCTGTTATTTGCTGCCGTTCATCACCAAAACAGAAGGCTCTGGTGAGTTTTCAATCACTCCTAGATTTTAGCCCATATCTGCTCCTTGAATTCTCTTTTTATTTTTGAAGCTTTCTTAAGAATAGTTAATTTAAAAAAACTGCAACCTGGAATACACAGGTAACCAGACTTGTTAAAGCTGGAACAGGAAAGACCACATTAGCAATTGGCGATGGGGCCAATGACGTTGGGATGCTACAAGAAGCTGATATTGGTATCGGAATCAGTGGTGTTGAAGGAATGCAGGTGCTCAACCAATAGCTGAATACATTTATCATTTCTTAAATATTTTTCTTGTTAACAAATTTTTACTTCATTTCATCTGAACCTCTGTGTTTTACAAATATCAGGCAGTCATGTCTAGTGATATTGCAATAGCTCAGTTCCGATTTTTGGAGCGCTTGCTTCTGGTGCATGGACACTGGTGTTACAGAAGGATCTCAACAATGGTAATGACTTTTATGTGCTTAAATTTAAATATACTCAAGGTGTGAGATTTTCTTTTTCGTTGTGGTTCCTTCCCTTCACGCCTATTTGAATCCTTGTAAAGATCAAAATGAAATCCCTAAAATTTTAAAATTTTTCTTGGTTTGAAATTTCTAAATGGTTTAAAATCTAAATGGTGTATCTACACTTTCAATATTCCATCAATTGACTTTCTCCTATTTGCAACTTGGCAGATATGCTACTTCTTCTATAAGAATGTCACCTTCGGTTTCACGGTTTTCTTATTCGAGGCAGCTGCATCATTCTCTGGGAAGCCTGCATACAATGATTGGTTCCTGGCCCTCTTTAACGTCTTTTTCTCAACACTTCCTGTGATTGCTCTGGGTATTTTTGACCAGGATGTATCAGAACAGTTTTGTCTCAAGGTATGCCTTTTATCAAATCCTAGTTGCAGCTGTTTTTGATTTTTATTAGTGGTAGGGCGGCAAAAAAAATTACAGCTACCACTATGTTAGCATCTGCTGAACATAAAGTCTGAAAATTTGTGAATAAAGCTAAATCGTGAAAAATAATTTGTTGGCACAGCTACAAGAATTATAACAAGCCTTTGTTGGGTTCAGTTGAATTCTAAACCTGCTTTTCTCTAACTTAAGCTTTGCTTTTTAACTGACAAATAACTATTAAACTTGCTTGCTCTCATTATTTTAATTTCAATGAAGATACTAATTGACACGTTTTGGGTTTTTGTGCTAAATGCTTATTCTGATTACTTCTCATTCTTTGTGGCAGTTCCCTTTACTATACCAACAAGGTGTGCAGAATATCCTCTTCAGGTGGCGTCGTATACTCGGCTGGATGTTCAATGGGCTTTGCCAAGCCATCATTATCTTCTTCTTTTGCACAAAAGCGTTAGAGCCTCATGCCTTCAATGAGGACGGAAAAGTTGCTGGATTGGACATCTTCGGGGCAACAATGTATACATGTGTTGTTTGGACAGTGAACCTCCAGATGGCCCTCACTGTTAGTTACTTCACCTTGGTACAACATCTCTTCATCTGGGGTAGCATTGCTTTCTGGTTTCTTTTCCTCTTGACATTCGGAGCCTTGTCTCCCAGCATTTCCACCACTGCTTACAAAGTCTTCATCGAATCTCTTGCCCCATCCCCCACTTTCTGGCTTGTCACGCTCTTCGTGGTGATCTCAGCCCTGATCCCGAATTTCTCATTCGCAGTACTTCAAATGCGGTTCTTCCCAATGTACCATAATGTGCTACAGCGGATGAGGCTTAATGGGCAATCCTATGACCCTGAATATTGCAGTATGGTACATCAGAGATCCGTAAAACCGACAAATGTGGGTTTTACAGCACGTTCAGAGGCAAGAAAAAATCGCCCAAAAGACAGGATTCACACCCACAGATGAAGCTCGCGTCACTTTTTGATGGTTAGTCATCAAAGAGTGTGGACTTGTGTACATCTGCTGCAGTATCAGAAATCTTCCCATTGTATATGATTAGATTGAAATTGGCACTGCTTCTACTTGAATCCAGAGTTTGCCCCGGGATTAAAACTCAATTACACATCTTGTGTATGGATATATTATTATTCTTCTGTGCCAGTTAGATGGGTAGAAAAGGCCCCCAAAAGGTTGTAAATCTTGATATTGGGGATGTATAGGGCAACATATATAATTTATCTTTCATCAGGTTTCTAGTTTTATTGCCGAATTTTTCTGTACAGAAGTGAGATGGGTAGTGTTCCTTCTTCTGACATGAAAGAGGATAGATTTCTTCTATGTTTAATACAGAACTTTCTTTTTGTAATGTGTTAATTGTTTTCTTAAATTTTACTATATCAAGTTATTTTTGTGTAAACAATAATGCAATAGTAGATTTGATCCTTCAAAGAATGAGTACAAAGCAGTGTTCAGAATAAAGTTGAGTTCAAAGGAATTAACCTAAAAACAGTGTCCGGTACTTCTCATGCTAATAAGAGAGACTTACTCTACCTTCGATGGTAGGATCACTGTTAGTTCCTTCATTTTCTCACGGTCCTTCCCGCCGGGCATCACCGAAATCCTTCATCAGCTCAGATAGAATCAAATGGAGGCCTAGCTTCCCCATCAATGTGAATTTACCATTGCAGTACTCACCTCGAAATTCCTCTCCCAACACATTCCATCACTCCCATGGCCTCACCTTTTATGGTCCAATCCTTTCCGTTACCAAACATTTCATTCATTCAATTAGACTTAATTGTTACCTTGAATAGAAGAAGATGCACATCCTACTTGAATAAATATTCCAGATGTATGCAAATTGTGTAATTCAGAGCTAGAGACAGACACATGAGTTCATCTTTTTTCAGGCTTCCCGGGCTTTGTTGAGGGGCCAAATGAACTCGGATTTCGACGAGCCACCTACCATTGAAAAGCTTGTTGAGTCTACTTACTAGGGTTGGTTGTTTTTTTTTTTTTTTAGTATGTATAATTGTGCGTGATCGTTATATATATATATATAGTTATACACAGACACACACACGTACAACCGCTGCTATCACTATTCAATACTTAGGTACACCACATATCAAGCTAGGGTTAAATTTGAGCAAACCACTTCAGATGTCAAATATATATATATATATATATATATATATATAATTGTATCTTTAATATTCTAAATGGAAAGTTCGCAAACTTAATTCATAAGGATATCATATTTTACATTTGAAATATTCACCAATTCACACATTCTTCACCCACGCAGGGTTTTCATTTGCTTTAGATGCAAGCTACAAATAGTTACTACAAACCCAATATATATATATCTGTATACAATCTACAAAATCGACAAATATGCTATCTCTAAACACTAGCTTTCCTTTATATAAACATACAACCACCACCAATACATATATATGCCATATATCTATCTCCCACGTACGTACATTGAAACCCCAACCCGGCCAACAACCTACCCTCTTCTCTCTGCTATCCTATCTATCTCCCACTCCTTGAAACCCTAGCCTTCTCTGTTTATAAATATACAATTAACCACCACCTATATATGCTATATGTCTCCCACTCAACCCTTGTCTCTCTAGTCCATCTTTCTTCTCCTTTTTGTTCTTCTTCTTCTTCACACTTGCGAGAAGAACAGGAAGGGCAAGAAGAAAGCAATATGGCATGATCCGGAACCACCAACAGATCGACATGCCTTTAATCACCGATCAGATGCATGGTTCTGAGATACTACTAGTCATACAGAAGGTCTTGTTAATTTCAAACTAGTTGAAGCAAGCTGATCACAATTGTTTGTCGATACATGTACATGTACATGTACATGATGTTGTTTCTGATAGAAGATGAGATGGCCTACTTGAAGACGCGACACGGAGGAGGGAAAAAATATATGCACCGGAATAGAAGCTTTGCTGAGTGATCCAGAACTGAAGGAATTTAAAAAAAAAAAAAGGAGTTGAAGAGGTGGGACATGCCGAAGAATTTGGTCATTCTGAGTTTGTTCAGAGCTTCGCTTCCCTGCCACTAAAGTAGCCAAAACTCAGCCAGAGGAAGATAGTGCAAAGCTGCAGCAGATAGATTTGGATTACACAGAAAGTATGGTGGAAGCAGCTAGCAGACATGGAACATGGCCCAATACATGGCTTTTGATATGCAAGAATACGGTTCTTGATTTATTTTTATTTTTATTTTCTGAATTATTGGGATCTTGAGTTATTCCACTTTGATGATTTTTACATATATAATCCTATATATATGTAAGCATATAAACCATCTTACCACAAGGTAATTTGTTTCTTTCTAATTTGTTGATTGTTATTCCTGATCTTTCTAATTTGTTTATTTAATGGAATTTTTTACTAATTTAATGGAATTTCCAGTTAATTGATTTAATATGATTATTACGTATAGAGAGAGTAATCCGTAGGAAGAGTCTTGCCTTCATTAGTATAATAGATGGTTTGTTTGTGGCAAGAGTTCCACAAAATTTAACCCCCTTGTTAGCTCAAGTGCTAAGTAGCCTCATGAAGTAACACAATTAAAGTACTTCTTTGGTGTAAACAATTTTTTGGGGCAGAAGAAAAGGCTTGAGCTTTATTTTATTAGTGTGAAAGACACTTTGCACGTTGTCTCAGAGAATAGTTGGGGCAAAGCTAGCCTCGGACGTTAAAAAAAAATAAAAATAAAAAATTGTTCCATACAAGGGGAGGTTGGGTGGACAAGCCCGATTTTTATTTTTTATTTTTCTACCGAGAAAGTCTACAACACACCGTTGGAAATTTTATGAAAAATTCATTAATTCATATACAATGGAATAAAATATTTTATTTCGCTAGAATATGAAACATAATACAAAGGTAATTTATCATTTAATGAAATATCATCAAGAGACTAAAATTACAACATGAAGTTTAAAAGATACAATTAACAAAGAGTATAACTTGAACACCAATAATAAGATGAATAATACATCAATTTGAATCAGTAGAATGAACATCATTTTTCACTACAAGAAAAAAGGTCTTTTACGAGTGCCCAAACACCTCGTGAGAACATATACACGGCGCACATGACTCCCTTGTCTATTATGCCCTTATAAATGCACTTAGGTTTTTTACGGGGACTAAAAGTTCTCGCAAAATAGGTACGAGACACCAGGCGTCTCGTTAATAACTAATTCACGAAGAGTAACTGACCTCGTTAATAATTAATTTACGATGTTACTAGCCTCTCGTGAATAATGAATTTACGAGTAACTAGCCTCTCATTAATAATTAATTTACGGTGTTCGTAGCCACTAGTTAATACATATTTACGAGATACGCTGCAAGTCGTAAAACACTTTTCTACAGGAAAATTCTCTCCTTGTAAATAATGTAAAAACTTTTATTCCCAGGTTGTGAATGACCCATAAATAACATATTTATTTATTTATATTTAATAAAAACACATTCAATTAATGCTACCCAATCATTCACATATAATCTGTATATTGGTCATAATTTTAAATAAACGGTACTTCATAAAGTTAACACTTTCCACTTAATATCAATAGCCAAATATACCATTAAATATATCAAAAGACAATTTTACAATTCACCAATTCATACACCATTAAACATATCAAAAGACAATTCATCATAGTTCAATGTGCCAACTTGCAAAAGAAAATTCAATGTTTGTCAAAAACATATCAATAAGTCAATCTTCACATTGTTCTTTAATCATGGGCACAAGTTGACTTTCAATTATTCACACTTCCTCCACCTCATTGTCCATGGTACAAAATCCAAGCAGGTACCTACATAAAAAAATAAATAAAAAAAAAAAAAGATGATGATGAATGAGGTGAAATTAGAAAAAAAAAATATATATATATATGATTACTACTACAGTATAGCCGCTGAAATGCCTATGATCAATCAAATGAGACTTAAAAAAAATAATAATAATAATAATAATAATAATTATTCTCAATTTCATATCTTCAAAATGTGACCGCTAATAGTCTACTAGCATAGCCTTGTGCCAATCTAGTTTGTAACACACTCACATGTATCATTACTTTAATTTCAAAAGTAAAAACATGCTCATCAATTTTATTCCTTCAACAATTTTTTGTTCTTTAACTATTACCAGTTCAAGTACTACCACTAACTCTTTCTTAGTTATCAAAAGGTGAGGGCCTTACATATATAACACTGCATCAAGCCTTCACTTATATACTGTTTTGGAGTTCAGAAAATTAGAGAGCAAGAAGAAGTACTGTGTTATCTATAACAATGGTGTTGAATAATCTTATTTGGAAGTTGATTTTATCTAAGTAGTTTGGCTTTTAAACATGGTACTGTATTCCTGCTTGGACCATCTCTCTTAGAACATAAGATGCTGTAATTGTTTTATCGGATTGTGGCAACTAGAGTCAATAAAATTGCAAGGCAAACTGATAGCCACTAATAAGGCGCAATAACATATCAAAATTTACAGCACCAGCTTCTATATCTTCTTTAATAATCCTTAATGATGTTATGATATGTATCCTTTTGACTCTGCTATATGTAACACGCCCTTCCCAGGTAAAAAAAAAAAGAAAAATAAGAAGGCACATTCATACTCTCTTTTAACGGATGCAAAACGGAGAATATTGACACTCCAAATTCTTATTTGATGAGAAAAATTGGTTAACAACACATCAGATGAGACAGCTGATTGGACATAGTTATCATCGAAAGCCATAATAGAAAATGAAAATTGCATATCTGTAATATTCAAAGTATAAGCAGGTAAGGCAGTTGGCAGGGTGGGAAATTTTTTTTCTAGACGGTACAAACAAATGCCATGTTAGGGAGATATGAGCATCTATATAATATGTGGTGCAAGTGGTGGAAGAACAGAATGGAACATACTTGATCTGTATCTCCTTCAAAGTCAAGAGATATGTCCGAGCATCTAGAATACCTTGTGTTTGTGTTTGAATGGTGTATGAATTCGTTGAGATTCCGAGAACAATTCTGCCCTGAAAAGACAAAAAATTTCAATAAATTAAATAATTAACTAAAGGTACCAATTTTTAATATTTTACCTAACCTCTTTGCTCTTTTCTTTTGTAACATAGACAATTTTTAATATTTTACCTAACCTCTTTGCAAAGAATTGTCGAGCCTACTCTGTATTTTACCACTATAGATTACTTATCAGGAAAAAAGGTAAAAAAACATACATTCTTATTTCTCAAAATTAAACAAAAGAGCTCCAATTTCTCATCAAGGAATGATTTTCAATTTCGACCCCATTACTGGTGTAGTGCCAAAGTGGCAGCAATGTCAGGATTATGTGGATGTCAATGCCTAGTAGAAGACC